AATACCAGGCAGAAAAAGCTTAACCTTAAGAGAGGCCAGCGAGGACAAAAAAAGTGTTCTCTTCAATTCCAGACTATGAAGAGTGGTATATTGGCACCTGTTCAAACCAGCTCATTTAGAGCTGACTGTGGGTTATTTCTTTCCAACTCCAAATTCAATGATGTCAGGTTGGAAACTTGAAATTGGCCACCATGACTGCATTTGTCCCATGAACTTGGAAACTTTACAGATAGGTGCCTTTCCTCCACTCCCCTCCAGAGCAGCGGTTGTTACGCGTTTACCAGCACACCACAGAGAATATGTAAGCCTACTCTGTATTTAGGTTACACTGGGAAGAAAGAATATAGTATTAATCATCAGACACAGCCTTGATGTCCAGTTCTGCAAAAAAATGACTTCTAAGAGCTAAATCAACTTCAGCTATACAGAAAAATAAAAACAATTCTTTAATCTGTGTCAGTCAAGACTGTAAAATTGTGAAAACAATAAATCTGTTAGTTGAATGAGTAAATAACCTGATGTTATCCTAAATATTAACTATCAGAATTCAAGACAAATATGATACCTTATTACTATTCCATTCACCCTTAACCATGTCTGTTTTCCCTACTGAGAAAGCTTTCTGCAGCAGTGATACTTTTGTTTTAAACATGTTGAGTTAGCCATCCAGAGAGTGAAAGGCAGCGTTCCCGATGGTTTTGTTAATGCATGGCTTGTTGCCCGTTGCACTGAACTACTTACTGTGCTTCCAGAGATATCCATACTGTCAGTACCATCAGCAGGGTTTTTTTTTTTTTTATATTCAATTCATAAATTGGTGCCAAAGTAGCTTACACATTGGCATCAATTACTAGCTTCTCATAGTGGTTTTTAGGGGAAAGCAACATCAAAGCTTTTGGTAAAGTCTGGAATTTCCTAGATATAATTTTGCCCAGTATCTGCCATATGTATCTGTTTTCCCTATACTGTCAGCAGGCAACATGAGTTAGTCTAAAAAACCTATAGCGAGGGGACTACCTTAGTTTGGGGCTGACGAGTCCCCAAGAAATGCTCTCTGCTTACCTATCCACCTGTCAGCTTGTGCTAAGCATCATTTCTCTGAAAGGCCTTTTCTGATTCACACAGTCTAAGGAGTATATTTTTAAAAAAAGCAATATTTTCCATCAAAACATTTATAACTTTGCATTTATTATAAGTGATTAATAAATAAACACCAACCAGACTGTAGGATCAATGAAAGTCTGATCTTCTTAGCTTTTCCTATCTATTGTTAGATCACTACAATACTATATAGCTTGTAGTGAATACGGATATGGATTTGTGGAATAATTGAATGATAATTAGAAAAAATATGTGCAACAATTAATATTTTTATATATTTCCAAAGAAATCTTATAAATAATATTCAAATAGTAGGAAAATACGATTCAAACTGGTAAGAAAGAAATACAAATGAGAAACAAAGAAATGTTTAGCATCACTATTATTCCACAAATCTGATATTAAACCATCATTTAATAAACAAAAATAAATACTAGTGGTAGTGAGGTTTTGATAAGCAGATACTCAAATTGCCAAATGGAAGAAATAGAACTTTCTGTACTTTTTCTGGTGGATAACTGGTTAGTATCAATACAAATGAATACTTGTCTCCTCCAATAATTCCATTTTGTTCAACTGTCTTCAGGAAATGTATACAAAGATGGATAAAACAAAATGTTCACTAAAACATTATAATGGAAATTAAACAATCAAAAGTATAGGATTAGTATAATATTTTAGTTATGAAGAAAGTATTAGATAACAAAATGATGTAGTACATATCAACTGATTGACTTAGCAATTTATTGACTATATATTTTAGTGAGATTCAGTGATGAGGAACTTTAAATGTTTTATGTGTCACATCCCAGAAGGATACGCACAAATGAGTTTGCAGTGTGCTTATCTTTGATGTTACAAATCTTCAGGTATTTCAATTTTTTTTTCTTTGTGTGTTTATAAATACTGAGTGTTTTCTTCTTTGATATTGCATTACTCGAATAAATTATTAAGAGAGGATTAAAAGAACTAGTGGTAAAGCATGACATAGTTTCTTTAGCCCACTGAAATTGGCTTAAAGATAAATGTTTCAAAAGAGAAGAGATGGGTTTGAATATTGAAGCAGGCATTTTTAAACTGGGAATTTTATAGATAGGAGCTTAATACTTTCACATCAAAGCTGTTATTTTCAAATTTAACTTTCTGTTGTATCAGAAATATTATTTTGGTGTATTCTTAAGAAAGAGACATTGTTAGATGGTCAAATGTTAAGGTCTAAGTTTAAAGTGAGTTACTTTTTTTTTTTTTTTAAATTTCAAATAATATAAAGAACAGATTGCGTTTTTTCCCCATTAGGTGGTAAGTAGCAGCAAATGATTTTGGCTTTCTACAGGTCTGTCTTTTCCCCTTTTTTAACTGCCAGGGCAGAAACAAGTTAAGTTCATATAAATGGGGAGCACCTGCTGTGGAAAACATCTCTTTTGACTTAAAAGGAGCATTAAAGCCTCTCACTTCAAAGTGAAATGATGACCAAAAAAGTAAGTATTTAGATATCCAGGTTATAAAAATTTACAAGTAAGAAAAGTTTGTTTCACCGCTTTTATTTGTTTGTTTGTTTTTGTTTTTGTTTTTGTTTTTGTGGGGCAGTGTTTACTGGTGACCAGTACATCTATTGTTATTATTCTTAAAATATGATGAAGCAGGAAAACATGGTGGTGATAAACACAGTCTTAGGGTAAAAAGACCTGGGTTTTGGCCCTAACTCCACAACCTGCCAGTTCAGTGACTGTGAACTAGTTGATTATGTAACTGGTAGATGGATAATAACAATACTTATTCACAGGATCATTGTTGGAATTAAGTAATATATATAGTACTCAGTCAGTGTTAATTTTTCATGCATCTCATTGGAGTGACTCAGTAAGGCCTTAATAATTTCCAGTTGTACTTTCCATCTTAAAGGCACTAATACTTTGACTATTCTTCTCAGGATAAAGTCAGTTCCTGGGCTTTGACTTATCCTGACTAGCCATCTGACAAAACATGTACATCAAAATTCTTCCCTAAGTCAGCTTCCAAAAAAGTTACCTTTTATAATAATAAATATAATAATAAATAATAAATAGATAATAATAAAATAATTATTTTTTTTTCCTTAAGAGCACATTTCTAGAACTTCCCATTAGTACACTGCTAGGTAGAATTTGGCTACCTCTTTTCATTCTATATTTTTTTAATTTAATTTATTTATTTTTTTATAAGAAAACATTTCTGAAGGCTTTATTTACAAAAGCTTTAAAAACAAATAATACCCTCTCTTTTGCAAATAACGTTTTGTTTAAAAAGGACCACCCAAAAAAAAAATAAAAAAAAAAAAAAAAAAAAGGACCACCCAGTTATAGCATTGTAATATAATGAATAATGTACAAAGAATTTAACCAAAAGGTACCACTGGTAACTTACATTTCAGCAATGTAAGTACTGACTATTTATTAACTAAAATGACAGCTCTTTTCTATGGTGCTCCTTTGAGGACACACATTTTAAAATTCAATGAGTAAGACTAACATTCTCAAGAAGTACAGAGCTCAAGAGAAACCAAAGAAAAAGATTACTAAAAAAATGTATAAACAAGGGTCTTTCCTATTAACATTTAGATCAATTTTATGAGAGTTTGTAATCATGGAAAAATGGCAGGAATTCTTATTCCATTAATGTAACAATACTCAACGGTCAAAATGAATGAGCATTGCCAATGATTGGAGAAAAAAGTTTAGGCTTCTAAGTAGCCTTGAGTCTACATGCAAGGCTGACTTGGCTGAAAACAAACCCTGAACACATTCTGGACGGTGAAATCTGAACATTCACACTAGGTCACTATTCTTGAAAAAGCCAAGGAACATAAAGATGATAAATTAGTAGCAGAGAATCCACCATTAATTGAACCATTAAGGTATTTTTTAAAATTCAAAGCTGAAAATCCAAAAGGTAGTTTTAATTCTCTAGTGTAGCACTGGAAAGAAGTACAAAACAAAGTATTTACTTGTCATGAATAGACAGTCCAAATCACTTCTGACTCAATACCTGGCAAAACAACTATTATGCTTTCTATTATTAATACAACTGCTACAGAAGTTTTAAATTTGCAGATAGTTCTCAGTCAATTCTTGAGTATCTAAGAGGATATATTCAGAAGAATTCTAAAGTTGTATTTTGCAAAAAGGAAAACTTTCTTTTTGCATTTAATTTACAATGAGGTGTACCTGCGTCTGTCGCTCCATTACTAAGCTAGGAGGAGCCTTCGATTCACCTAGCTTTATATTCAGTATTGCCTTTTGCCACTTAAGGGGCTCTGCTCAGTATGATTTTTGATTCAACAACTACTTCACATTTACTTATCCATTTGAGAATTTAGAACCTCTTAGTAAGACTCAATCTACTAAAAAGCACTATATAAGCATTACTCTACAAACCCTCAAAATGCTGAAAAATGGCATAAACAAATAGTATTTTACCAGCAATTTAATGCCTATGAGAAGACAATGCCAGGGAGACCTAACATGTAGATTCTTTGAGTTGGCAGCAACAGCACTGATGTGGTCTACAGAAAGAATTCTGGAGTTCTGCTAGTAATGAGTGTGTCCTTGGATAGAAGTTACTAGTCTCTGGCTTCAGTTTTCTCATCTAAGAAATAGTCTGGTTGGACCTACATGATTCCTAAGGTAGTTTAAATTGTTTCATTTTTTCAGTCTATGAAGAAATCATTTTTTCAGTGCCCTCTGAACTACATTTCAGGAGGACTTATTTTTGAACACTTTCATTCAAGTGTGTTGGACACAGCCTACATGCATCTCTAACCACGTCTTCACTTAATGAGCACTTATTGCCCAAAAACGTTTGCTGTTAGATTTTTAATGTTCTCAACTTAACAACCAACTGAGAAAAAGGCACTGATGTCTTCATACTTCTCTCATTTTGAAAAAGGCCATACCTGTGAGCAATGAATCAGATCCTGCTTGATGCTGTGGTCCTATCCGTTCCAGCTCTAACTGTTCAGCAACTTCCTGTAAACCAGCTTTGAGATTTTTGCAGCTCTTCATGAGGTACTTCACATCATAAATGACAGGAAAAAATAATCGAAGGATCTCAAAGAAGTCAAGTTCTTCTTCAGGCAAGTTAGAGTTGGTCAGGATTTTGATTAAATAGCCAAAGTCATAACCACTATGAAATGATAACCATTTGACCCCTTCGTAGAGGACCACTCCCGATGTCATAAGAAGTTCTGCAAAGTACTGGATCTCAATTCCTTCCTCCTCATGTTTTTTAAACTGGATGCCAGATGTTGTTAGTAGCTCTATAGAGTCCTGGGCATACATGTCCTCCGTCAAATTAAATTTAAAATTAAACTGCCAAGTTGAAGTTCCTGGAGGATATTCTCCTTGCTCATTCATAAATGTCAGTCCTAGCTGAATTATCTTTAACAAGTCTAATTACATCGCAATAGTTGGTACTGATAGTCAGCATTTCTCCTGAATTCTCCAATAGGTCTTGCAACCACACCTGGAAACTCGGTGTCCATAGCAACGTAATTATATCTTCTGATAACTTGACGAATTTTCATCTCTTCATCCAGGTTGCAAGCCCAAACTTCACAAATTCTTTGGCTATGATCTACAGTTGCTGCTGGCATAGTGAGGATACAAGAAGTCTAGATGTCAAGCATCAAAATGTTATACTTGATTGAAGATTTGTTTCATAAAATACTTTATCCTTTATTTTTGTACTTGTGTCGCTGAGCTCGCGCTCCTCCTCCTCCTCCTTGCCATAGAGACAGCAACCAGTGGTGGTGGTGGTGGCGGTAGCGGCCGGCAGCAGCGGGTGCCCCATAGACACCTCACGCCCAGCAAGGGGAAAAGGGGAGCTGGGGCTGCGCTTCATCGTGCTGCGCCGTCGCTTCTCCTTAATTTTATTTTTTAATGAAGATTTTATTTATTTGTTTGACAGAGAGAGAGAGCAAGTGCAAGCAGGCTGAGCCACAGAAGGAGAGGAAGAAGCATCCTCCCCAGCTGAGCTAAGCAGGGAAACCAATGCTGGACTCAAACCCAGAACCCCGGGATCATGCCCTAAGCCAAAGGGAGATAACTAACCGAGCCACCCAGATGCCCGGTGGCTACCTCATTTTAATGCTCAATTCTGTTTCCAACATTTTAAGAAAATGCTTAGCCAAGGTTGTATCAGTCTTTAATATTTTTAGTCATGGTTGTCTGTCAATGATTTTAAGTTCCAAAAAGGTTACCCATCTTCTCTTTAATTCACCATACACGGTAGTTTAACAGAGCATAGCAATAAATTTAGGTTATGATTGGTTTTGATGGTACAAATACATCTAGAGCAAGATTTCTCAACTTTGAACCATCAACTTGTATTGCCAATTTTTTTTTTTTTTTTTTTCTAAGAGGTTGCTGTGCACATTGTAGGGTGGTTTGTAGCTCTCGAGGCTACCGCTGCCATGTACCCACTGGATATTTTGTTATGGTTTCCTAGATTATAGAAGTACCTCCTTCCAACCTAAATGACAACAAAAATGTCTCTAAACATTGTCCAGTGTTCCCTGAGGGGCAAAATAGCCCCTGGTTCTAAATGACTGATCTAGAAAAATTAAAAAGAATCATATCATAATAATTGGTATACTATGCATTTTAATACATATTTTGTCACTCACAAGTCAGTTTGTCATAATTAAGTAAATTGTCTTAAATATATAAGCTCATAATCAGGAATAGACCTATTAAATTTTTATGTAGATAATCAGTTAGAAAAAGTTGATTTTATAACTAAGTACATGGTAAATGTAGAGGCCACCTTTAGACAATAGGCTTGAGCAATGAAAACTTGGTAAAGGCAGAGGGCTCCAAGTGACCCCAACCCCCAGGCTGAATACAGACAGTAGCATCAGGCGACCCACGTCAAAATATCCATAGGCCCTCATTGACTAATGGGCTACTTATTTACAACAACAGTTACCAAAAAGTGAAAATTCCTTATGTCACCATTACCTCCTCATCCTCACCTTTAAAAACAGCCCCCACGGGGTGCCTGGGTGGCTCAGTGGGTTAAGCCTCTGCCTTCAGCTCAGGTCATGATCCCAGGGTCCTGGGATTGAGCCCTGCATCGGGCACTCTGCTCAGTGGGGAGCCTGCTTCCCCCTCTCCCTCCCTGCCTGCCTCTCTGTCTACTTGTGATCTCTGTCTGTCAGATGCTAAATAAAATCGTAAAACAAAACAAAACAAAAAAACAAACAAACAAAAAAAACAGCCCTCACCCATTGCCTCATTGCAGATAGCTTCTCCTTTGCAGTCTTGACCATAGGTCCCTTGAGGTGCTTCAATCAACTTCTATATCCTTTGTTCTGCCCCAGGTGAATTCGTTTCACCACCCACACCATGCTGCCAAGCTACCACCTGATCTTTGCCCCCAACTGATCGTGAGAGACACCACATTTAGACACCACAGCAAAGAGACATTTTTCTTCCATTGTGAATCTTTTTGTTTTGTCCTTCCTGTGATATGTGGCTGTTACACAAAACTGTCACCAGCTAGACTCTAAGACCTGACCTTTACTGCGCAACTGCTTCTACTCTTGGACCTTTATCCCACATTTTTTCCTTAAGGGATAAGCAGGAAAGTAGAGCTTAACCCAGGCAAATGGAAAGCGAAACAGCCCCTGGAGGTATCTGACTGCTCAGACAAGACCTCTGGCCTGCCCAGAGAGTTTGAGCTTCATTCGTGACTTACATCTGTACACAGGGACAAATGAGTGACCTCTAGAATATCTGATGACCTTTGCCTCATTATAATACTAAAATCTCCAACTAAGGAGGAGACTCAGTCTCCTTTACATAACATGCATGTTTACTTACGGTGCTATCTAAATATTTATCCTAACCCTAAATAAAAGGAACCCATTCACCCTTGCTTGGGAAGTCAGGACTTTGGAAGCCATTCTCTGTGACTTCCTTATGTGCTACAAATTTTTCTTTGTGTGACAAATCAACCCAGAGCTTTTGCTGGCTTACCAAGGAGTGAGCTCATGTTGGTTCAGTTATAGAACCAGCCAGTGGGGCATCTGGCTGGCTGAGTCGCTAGACCACTAGACTCTTAATTTTAGTGTTGTCAGTTCAAGCTCCATGTTGGGCATGGAGCCTACTAAAAACAAAATAAAACAAAACAAAACAAAACCAGCTGTAGGCATATGTCCCAGGATGAAGGCTGCCTCAGGGGTGGGATTGAGCCAAACCAGAGGCTTCTTATGTACACTGTTTACTAAAGTATGTTTTAGTTTGCCTTCAGCATAAATGAAAAATCCAAATTTCACTTAACCTATGAAAGAATGTTGCAGAGTTGAGAACGGAAAGACTTAGCATGCCTCTAATATTTGCTAAATGCTAACAATTACGTTTGTGGTAATATATAAAGAATATGGATTTCTGAGTAAGAAATGTTTGGGCTAAATCCTCTTGAAAAATTACTAGTTGTGTAATATCAGGTATTGGTTTGCAGCCTTCTTGGGAGCTTCGCTGGTGAAAGCTGAAACTGGCCCTAGGGCAGGGAGAGGCCAGAAGTCACTCGGATTGGTTGGTGGTCTTGTTAATAAGCAAAGGAATTTACAAACAAGGCTCACCCTCCATTGCCTTAAGACTAGTATATCTCTGCACACCCACCTGCCAAATCTTGGTTTATATAGAAGACTTACCTTGGTTCAGTCACTGAGACTGAGCAGATAGTCTCAAGACCACAACACTATCTCAAGGTTCTGTCCTTAGGGTAGCTTCCACCCGAAAGGCTATTGGAGTGCACATTCCAATGAGAGAGTGAGAAGCCTCCCAGTCTTCAGCTCACAGTTCAACTGGCAGTCACGTCCTCTTGATGACCTACCCCAACATCAGAAGTCTTTCGTTTGTTTAATTTTTATGCTTCCAACTTTTTTTTAAATCAGTAAAAGAGCATAGTAATCTACAGGATTATGAAAACTAAATTAAATTCAAAATAACATAATGCCTTGAACACGTTACTTAATAAATATTTGTTAAGTGAGTAAATACATGATTAAAGTGACTCTCAAGAACCTAGAAGTCTATAAACACAATATATATTAATTTTTTCCTAACCTTCCATCCTGGGGAAAAAAAAAGTTTTCAGAAAGGAAAACAGAAAGATAAAGGAGGGGGAATCTTGGCTTTAAATGTAAGAACAGCATTTTAGTGCAGTCAGTATTTTATGTACCATGGAACTTCAAATATCATTCAGAAGAAAGCCACCCATATTCATGTCATGTTCAAAATATTAAACCAATTCCAAGTTGGCAAGGATAAAAATAAAACCTCAGTATGCTTTAGTCAATTGCCTCCTAAACACTTGAGTGGACTTAAATTCTGTGCATGTAACACCCTTTAACCACCAGTAGTGTTAATATAAGAACTTTTATTTTCCCGCTTATTATTATGGATTGCAGCATGTACATTAAGGTCTTCAACATGTTATTTGGAACAGTTTGAATTAAATAAAATTTTTTCTTGTGTGTTGGGGACAGTGAATTTGCCTTTCTCAACATAAACTTGCAGAAGTAACAATTTATTATTTGATATACATTCAATTACAAGAATATAAAACTCAGCTGGTCTTAGTTTGTGCATCAAACATTTATAAAATACCCTCTAAATAACCAACTTCGTAGTAGATACTAGAGCTACAGACATACAAGGCACAGAGCATAACTTCTAGGTGTTATCAGTTTAGTGTAAAGGAGAGAAGCAACAATTGGGGCATGGTATGATAAAAGCTACGATATAAGTAAGAAAAGGATCCTATGGAAGGACAGAAAAATTTATCTTCATGGGCATTTCCTAGTCAACTAAGAGAAGCTATTTTTCTGGGGTATGAAATATATCATCATTCATTCATAAGACTTTTGGAAGCATTTCAGATGAAAACCATGAAGAATATCAATCAAGGATTTCAAATTTATCTATACTATAGAATCCCTGAAGATTTTAAACACCTGATATCCAGGTCAAAACTCCAGATTCATTATCAGAATTTTTGAGATTAGAATTTAGGAAGCAGGAATTAAAACTCCTTAAATGATTTCAGTGGGCAGCCAAGTTTGAAAACCACTGATCTCAAAAGAGGAGAGGGAATCTGATGTGAAATGTTGGGGTTCAGAGCTGACGGCACAGAGAGAATTCTTGAGACATCTTCAGTGCTAAAAGGTGGTTTTACAAAAGCATGGGCCAGGACCCATGGGCAGAAAGGGCTACACCAGTGTTGTGTGATGGGTTACTAATCATATACTTTCAAGTTGGGAAGGGTTTAGGGATTGCCTAAGTCTCTAGGGAATTCTATTTACTTATTTATTTATTTATTTATTTATTTATTTATTTACATTTCACTTATTTATTTTTTTAAAGTTTTTATTTGTTTATTTGACACAGAGAGCAGGGAGCCGGACACGGCGCTGGATCCCAGGACTCTCGGATCATAATCTGGGCTGAAGGCAGATGGTTAACCAACTGAGCCTCCCAGGCACCCCTCTATGGAATTTTAGAGGCAAGTTTTCTAGGACCATGAAGGGGTTAGCTATCATTAGGAGAAAGCCATTTATTACTGTTTAGTAAATGCTTAGTCATGAGACCCTTCAGATGTATATCGGTGGGTCACATGCTTGGAGGATATTTACTAACATGTATCTTGGGGGTAGAGATAAAGGAAGTTTCTGAAGGAATTTTTGTATGTCAAAGAAGACTTACAGTATCCTGGGAGGGTCAGGATAATGAATGGTAAGGTAAGATTCACCTTTCCTCTTTAGCAAAATATTAAA